TATTTGTTAAAATATTTTCAATTTTTTATCTTTAAAATAATAGATACTGCTTTTTTTCTCTGCTGTGAGAAACTGCAAGTGTAAATAAAGACCAAAATGTAGAGTAGGTACCGTGAAATAGGAAGAAAATGTTCAAATGAGGAGGGAACAAAGGAGTAGGGAGGGGAAAAGGTAAAAAGAGAAAAGTTTAAAAAATTAGAAAAGAAGGAAAAATGGAAACAAAGTTTTGTAAATGGGGAGGAGAGGGCTTGAAGGGAGGAAAGGAGAATGGAGATAAAGAAACAAAATATATCATGCACAGCTACAAATCCTCTAGATGAATGTGATTATATATATACAATAAAATCTGATTGGAGGGAAAAAAAACTAGGATTACAGGTCCCACTTGACTCAGTTGTTTCCCTTCTGAGTATCTTCTTGGAAGAATTAAAAGCATCATACTACAGCAATATATGCATGATATATGTGCACCCATGTTTATAGCAGCAAAGTTTGTAGTACATAAATATTGGCAGCAACTCAAATGTGCATCAACCAATGAACAGATAAAAAGATGTGGGTTTTTTCAGTATAATGGAGTACTACTCAGCCATAAAGAAAGAAAAAATTAGGCTATTTATAGCTAAATGGATGGACCTTAGGACCATACTCTCAAGCAAAATGAATTGGACACACGTATGTAAATATCACAGTATCTCTCTGGTGTAAGACACTGAAAATGTAAGTAGGAACCAAAATGTAGAATAGATATTGTGAAATAGGAAGAAACTCGTCAAAAGAAAAGAGGAACTAGGGAGAGGGGAGAGGGGAAGGAAGAAAAGGGAAGAAAGAGTAAGAAAAGAAGGATGAAAGGAAAACAGAGGCTTGTGAATGCAGAGGGGAGTGGGTTTTGAAGTGGGGGTGACAGGAAAGGGGAAAAAGAGGAATGAGGATGTATCATGTACAGGTAAACATCCCAAAATGAATGTGATCATTTCGTACACCAAAATTGTACCAATGAACTTAAATAAAATTTTTAAGAAGACCACAAAGTTTTACCAAAAGACTCCTAGAATTAAACACCAAACTCAGCAATGTAGCAGGGTACAAAATCAACACACAAGAATCAAGAGTGCTTCTGTACACCAATAATTAACTCCCTGAGAGAGAAATTGGAAAATAGAACCATTCAAAATAACATCAAGAAAAATTACTTGGGAATTAACCTAACCAAGGAAGTGAAAGATCTCTACAATGAAAATTATAGTAGGTCTATCTTTTTTATAGCTAATATTCCATTATATAACAATACCACATCATTTTATCCATCCCTCAGTGGATGGGCATTTGGGTTGGTTCCAAGATTTAGCTATGACAAATTGTGCTGCTGTAAACATGCGTGTACATTTATCGCTGTAGTATGATGTTTTCAGTTCTTCTGGAAAATTACCCAAAAATGGAATAGCTGGGTTAAGTGGGACTTCTAATCCTAGTTTTTTAAGGAATCTCCACACTGATTTCCACAGTGGTTGCACCAGTCTGCACTCTCACCAACAGTGGAGAAGTGTTCCTTTTTCCCCACAACTTTTCTACCATTTGTTATGGGTTGATTTCTTGATGATAGCCATTCTTTCTGGGGTGAGATGGAATGTTGTTTTAATTTGCATTTCTTGAATGACAAATGATGTTGATATCTTTCAGTTTTATGATGACCTGCTATAATTTTCTTTTTTTTAATGTGAGACCATACTCAGAAGCGAAATAAATCAGAACCACATGTGTAAACACTGTATTGTCTCCCCAGGGTAAGAACCTGAAAGACTAAATATAATCTGAAAGGGACAATCGATATTGTGTAAGAGAAAAAAACTGCTCAAAGGGAAGGAACAACTGGGATGAGGGGAAGGAGAAAAGAAAGAAAGAAAGCAGGGAAAAATATGTATGTATATACAAAAATAACTGGGATAATTGTACTGCTGATTTCTATTGGTTTATTGAAAGAAACAGTTATTGCTTAAAATTTTTTTCTTTT